CAATAGCTAACAACAGAACATAAAGAATCTTCATGTTACTGGAGAAGTGACTTCAATTTGCATGAAAAGTGCAATGCTATTGAAATAAACTATTGAGGAACAACTAGCTACTAAGTGAACTCAATTTCAAATTTTATGCAAAAGGCAACTAGAAAATGCTATGAAAGTTGATTAATCACACCTTTATCCAGTTTCCATTAATGAAGTTATTAAATACATTCCCATTTGATAGCCAAAGAGGCTCCTTTTGGCTCAGGAGGATGCACAAGGGTGCACCTTTCGCTGTTGCCTGCTGATCCACACACCTAGAATTGAAAGCCTTACAAATCTATGTTACCTTGATATATGCATGATCTAAGAATAGCCAAGTTATAATAGTAGTTGTTTTTGTAAAAAATAATTCAAGTGCCTTGATTTTTATGAAAGTGTACCATTAAAAAAAAATTAAAAAATCAATTCCAGTGACAAAACGATACACTAACTGGTATGGAATACCCATAAGGGTTTAGCTCAATTGGTAAGTCTCAACTTCGCCCGATATGTGAAGCTACACATATCCGGGGTTTTACTGGGTCTCACTGAAGGTGGAGTCAAGGGTTCTCGTTATCAAAAAATGAAAAAAAGAGACTGGTATGGAATTCATAACTTTCTCTGCCAACCACATATCTAAACAAAGAGATATAAAGACATTCTCAAGGCAGAAATATAGGCTCATTTGCACAAGTAGCAGCTCTAGGACTTGAACCAGTGAAGTAATGGCAGTTACTTGTTATGCAGTAAATGAGCCGCTATATCTTTGGGTCATAAGCAGTAATGGAATAATCCTGTAACATAAGCAAAAAAATATTAATTTTTAGATTTGAAGAAGAAATTAAATATCTTGTGCAATTTAGAAGAAATAAATCCTTCTTTCAAGATTCCGAGCATATCAATTGAGAACACAATACTGCCACTAAGGTTCATAAAACTAAGAAGAAAGCATAGCATTAACTGAAAGAATAGTTAATGAAAACAATTCAAGTGCTTTCCTGCCATCTTGTCTCCCTACCTCTCTCTCATATATATAAATATACATATATGTACATTTGTTTTCTTGTATGTACATTTGTTCTCTTGTCAAATGCTTAATTCTATCTATGACAAATGCCTTAAACAAGTTTAAGATTTACACACATGAAAGATATTAATGAAGCAAACATCTTTAACAAAGCTACGCTAATAGCATGAGTTTAATCTCCCTCATTAACATAGCACATTCCAAGAATAAAGCAATTTAATGAAAAAAGGATTGCCGTCAAATGCATAAAATGATTTTCACATGACATGAATTAAAAGACACAAAAGGAAACGGAAAAGGTATACAACCTTTAGAAGGGTAAAGTACAAATCTACCGTGGCCACTTGAAGGACCACCACCACTGCCACCAAGGCAACTGATGCCGCCACCACCACACTCACGTTAAGCTGTATTGCTCTGCCTCCACTTCTACGCAACTTCAAGTTTACGTTCATCACATGAGCACAAGCACTACCATTAACAAAACAACACCACCTGAACCACCTAATGCTGGCAGTCCTTCTGACAGCACTACCACCATCAAAGTTGCACGCCTTCTCTACCTTTAAAGAGTGATACACTCTCTACTAGTGATGAAGGACAGCTTAGTATAGATTAAAACAAGGAAAATAGGACTAGGCTTTGTAAAATAATGGATTACAAGAGATACGTTCAGATTATGATGATTAAGGCCAATTTGACCGATTTGAATGAACAGAAATTCAGCAAATAGGAAAAATAAACGATAAAAGTACCTTACTCCATACGGGGGCCGCTTGAGTTCCACACTCGAGTCAGTAGAAGAATTCAGCAAATAGGAAAAAGAAAAAAAGAAAAGTACCTAATGCTTTAAACAGGAAAAACTTTCATTACAACTCTTAAATCGTGTAACAAGGGGCCCGTTTCATAGAAACTACAGTACACAGATTCCAAAAAATTTCCTATAACCATGACTTTCTAAACTCCTATAACAGCATACCTAGTACTAGTCAAGGACAAAAAAAATAATAATAATAAAATAGAAGTTTCGCAACCAAAAACGTAGCCCTAGCTAGTAAAACCACTAAACTGCCATATACTATAACCAATGGATTGTGAACAAGTCCTTTCTCCTTCTTGTTTTTCCAACATCAACTAGAATGTAGAAACTAACAATATAAGTTGCAAAATCAAACTCTTAAGATTTAGAAAGCAATGGACTTTGAACTCTCTAGACTATCTGTTAAAATTGATGTATTATTGATTGATTGTTGTATTGAATGTTATGTTGAGCTCTCTCCTTTATAAAGGAGAGGAAGAACAATTACAAACCGAAAGTAGAAGCACAAACCAAACAACATTATTAAAGGTACATTATTAAAGCATACTAATTATTATACTAATTATTATACTAACCTAATTATTAAAGCAACATTTTACATATTATATTCTAACAGCCCCCCTCAAACTCAAGGAGGATAGGAACCTACCAACTTGAGTTTGGAGAGAGTAGAAAAATAAAATAGGATAGGAGACACTGTATGGTCGTGTCAGATTGTTGTTGAAGATAATGTCTGGACAGTGGACGAGGTCATGCTGGACCGTTGTAGAAGCTGACCGGAATCAATGTCGGGACAGTTTACAGAGTCTTGTCGGACCCCATGAAGGAGCTAACCGGAATCCAACCCATGTGGACAGTTACAGAGTCTTGTCGACCCTTGGAAAG